CGGAAGGCCAAATAAAGTGCTTTTGCTTTCTCCTAGAAACACACAGCGTCTTCCTGACATGCTGCTTCAGCACTAACTGCGGTTACTGAAACCACGCCGCCTTTGCATGAACATTTGGGCGGCATTATGCTAATATTTCCACATAGTGAGGTAGATATGTGGGGGCGTGTTAGAACGAGCCGTTTTAGGGGGGCGTGGCAGAGTCTTAACTTTGATAAAGAATATCTCTTTGGTTTTGAGACTTTAGTCTTTGCAACTTCAGGGATCTGATCTATGCACAATCAGCTTGTAACACTCCAAAGAGAAAGGAAAACTTGAAATCGCATCATATGACCCCTTTAATGGAAACGATACTCGCAGTCATGGAAATATCAAAGATTTTTGAAAGTCTGCATTAACTAGTCAAATTGACGTCAGCTGAAGGAATGCCATTCCAGAGAGGAAACTAATTTTGCAAAGACAAATGTTTTCTTTCAATTAACAGATGAATTGTTCACTCAAGACTAGTAATATGCTCTAACAAAATAAATGGGATCGATTGTGATTTTCATGTGGACTTGAAAAAAAATAATTGGCTATATATTGATCCTGTGTGAAGTAAAGCTTCCTTGCAAGGTGTAGTGTCCAGTTTGTACGCTCTCCATTTCCATATTGAGTCTTCTCCATTCATTGACTCAATTGAGCTTGTTCATATTGATCTGGGTAATTTTATTAGCATCTGTTCGGGTTAAAATCATTAATAATCCCCGACTAGTATTCTCAGATGTCTAAAAAGGTCATAGACATTTGGTGGCTGAAAAGTGTGGTAACCTCGGCTTTAAACCTTTTAAGTCGGTTTTTAATATCCATATTTTCTAGGATTTTGTGTTATGGAAGCATCAGTTTGTTCTGACGTTTAGTATTTGATCAGTGCAAGAAGTAGCTCATAAAATGCAGTAATTTCTGGCTAAAAAGAGAGCCAAATAAGTACATTTGTACTTTTCACTAATAAAAAATGTTTCCTTTCAGATAATTATTCGTTGTTTTTTATATTGCTGTAATCTTTTAGGGAACAGTTGCAAACAAGTTCTACGTACACAACGATATCTTCAGGTACCAGGATGAAGTGTTTGGGGACTCGGACTCAGAACCTCCTGAGGGTGAGCAGCTGATATTATTGGTGTATTTCAGGGATCTTCAGAGTAATCTGTCTCCCAGTTGCTCTTGCTGTGAGCAGAAGACTTCATTTATCTCCTGTTGTTCACAGAGTCTGAGGAGGATGTGGAGGAGCTGGAGCGGGTGCACTCGCCTGAAGTGGTCCAGGAGGAGTCTGCTGGGTACTACGAACAGCCGACTTGGTAACTAGCATTATTTTTCCGACTCGTTAAATGTAGTCATTTGAGTAAGGCAGGATGCAAACTATGCAGGTGTGTTGTAGGTCAAAACAAACCTTACATTTTATTTTTCATCGGTCCTTACATAAGGAACACTTCAGTAAACCGTAGTTTGTCAGGTTTTCTGTTAAAAGTCAAAGTCGCTATTCGATATCATGCCCTCAAGAAAGCGGGGTGACAGTTTGCAAGTTTCATACAAATTTGTGCGTTTACAGCGTGGAGCCCGAGGGGCCACAAGAAGAGGTGTCTGTAACCCCAGAGCCCCAGCCTGAGCCAGAAGCAGAGGTGGAGCCTGAGCCAGCAGCTGTGGAGCTGAAACCGGAGCCTGTCACCGAGCCTGAGGTTCACATTGAGGAAAAAATTCAGAGATCTCCCCCTTCGCCCACACCTGCTGACACGGCACCCACCATGCCAGAGGACAACCGGGTAAGACCACCCTCATTCATCACTGTCTGTTGGGTCCCTCTCGTGTCAACAGACCTGTATTTGTGAAGATGTACAGTCATCACAAACCGGATAAATGAGATCACCTGTGAAGTCAAATGCTTTTAATTTTCAGCCGTCGTCTTGGGCTTCAGTCACTAGCAAGAATCTCCCACCAGGAGGAGTGGTCCCCGCCACAGGAGTCCCTCCACATGTTGTCCGAGTCCCATCTGCGCAGGTAGATGCAGTAGGGGTTCAATCTCTAACTAGCTGGCAGCACCAGCCACTGGCAAGTCACCTGACCTGCCAGTGGTTGGTGGCACCTGGAAGTCTGATTCTGGTTGGCTGCCTGGTGGCTGGTAGTCCACTTCCTTTGCAAGTGTCAGGAACCATTGATTTATGGCAGACTTTGTGTTTTGCCCTCCTTCCACTCTAGCTCCGGGAATAATATTATTTTGGTAACACTTTACAGTAAGTTTCCATTATTTAATGTTAGTTGATGCATTAGCTACAAACAACAAATGAATACATTGCCAAACATGTTAAAGAATAGACTAATAAGAATACGTTCATAAGCATACAATATTATATTTCCTTGCAGAGAGAGTGGTAGGGTACACGTTAAACTGTGAGCGCTCTTGCGGCTGACTGATTCACTGGTCATTACCAGGGACAGTAACCAACCTGTCAGGTTCATGGGCATTTGAGTGCTTTAATTGGGATATAAATTATTCACCCCCCACCACCACCTAAATTTCAATCATACAAAAGAATAGATTCTTAACATTATATTTATAATAATGAAACAAATGTGTTTCCTTGCAGCGAGAGCGATAGGGAACATGTTATATTCGCTGCTCAACAGTCGCTGGCTATATTCAGCTGCCAGAAGTGTCAGTAAGCAACCAGTTGGGATCACTGCTATCTGACTGTTTTAATTATGATCAAATTCTCGAAAACATTAATCATGTAAAAGAATATATCAACAGATGCACAATGATAAATGGGATAAGAACGAGCTCAAGGAGTTCTTTGAACGTAAGTGATACAAGCATCATTTTTCAACTCGTACTGGGCCTCATTTACGAAACGAGCGTACGACAGAAAATTGGGCGTACGGTCATTTCAACGCAAAACTTGGAATTTATCAATATGGACGTGAGCGGTGGCTACGATCAAATCTTATGTCTGGTCTCAGCTCGTGTACGCAAGTTTGAGTTACCTGAACTTGTGCACAGCATAGTAAATATGGTGGAGAATTGTACAATGACAGTATTTTGTTCATTTTTATTTTTCTGACTGTCAAACGAAGCTCATTAGTCGATCGTTAACCAGTAAGATTAGAATGTGTTTTTTTTTTTATTGTATTTTTTTTTATATGTGCGAATAGCAGCGTAAACAAGACCATGAGGATTCAATCGTCGCATCATGCACCTGCAGTGCTTCTCTGAAAGGAGAAAACAGAAATTAAGTCTATAAAATGAATAAAATAAAAAGTATATAATAGGCCTAGGCTATAATATAATTAACAAAAGGAAAAAAAAAAACTGTGCAACAAGTAGACCTATAGGCTATGCTCGTTCTTGTGACGCGCTTAATGGATTTTATTTATTTTCTTTATATCTTTATTTGATTTAATCCATCTGATCGCACAGGCGCCTCACGCACACGCAAACAACATTAGTTCTAGCGTTACCTGACATTTCAGCCATTCATCAAACTAAAATGCAGTCAACCAAACACACAAGTTGCACTGTTTATTTTAAAAGGTCCGCTGTATAATCAGCGTGCAGCGCCCAAACAAACATTTTTGCGCATATGAAGGGTTTTAGACTGATATTAGAACATGAGTGAAGTATAAAGCCTCGTTTAGGCTACATAATGAATAATAGTTATGCAAACAAATGTTACAAATATGGCAAAAATGGAAACATTTGGATTCTTGTGGTATG